TAAAATAAAGGGAAAAAAAACCCTAATATACCCCACGACCACTTCTTGGCAAAAATACAATGCAATGGCACCATTCCCTGCCACCATCATGTTTTATTACCAAGTCCCCTGCTGCGGAAAGATCAGTGTTGTCATGCTCTAAATATCAGATCCTAGCGGTAGGCAGATTGATATATGTATCACTTAGCAATTAATTCAACTACTGAATAATAGTCAACAGCATTTTCTAAAAAAGATCATCAGTTATTACCATTTGCGATATTTTACCACAATAAACCTGGGCATCCCGTAAAAAACACCACTCCGCCAAACGAATTCCCGTACCAATTTCATCTACCACTTCAATCATTTTCTCCAGTTCATCAGGACAGATGTCAGGGCAGTGTGTGAAGCCGAAGTAGATCAGCACCCACTGGCCAATGTAGTCCTTGCTGGTCTTGGGCTGTCCCTCATGGCTGACGAGTGAGAAGGGCCCTCCTAGCAGCGGTTTCCCAATGCCTCGGTTTCGTTCCTTCTCCAGCTCTACAAAAAACAAGAGGGGATCAAACACATCCATGCCACAGTCCACACTGCTTCCCGGGTGAGCCTCAGAAGCAGTCGAGAGTCAGGCAACCTCGCAGAGTCACAGCCCAGGGTGTTGAAACGTCAAGATCTACCAATGCCCATCGTGGACAAGACTTCCAAAAAGCATTCCATTTTGGGCAAAATCAAATATATCACTAAGCTCCTTTGAAACATAATAATCTCTTTCATTGTAATCCGATTTTATTTTTATTTAAAAAAAAAAGAAACGAAAAAAAAAGTAGAAAGACAGGTGCCTGGCTTGGTGCGAAACAGAAAAATTAGCATCCTTTGCAAATTGAACATATCCTAAAAGCTGTAATATCTCTGATTTTCAACATTAAAACATGAAAATGAAACATGTCGGCAGTTACTGCAGGACAGGGAAAGGCACGCATACCCTACACAGAGGAAACCCAACGTGCACAGAAAACCCCACCTCCGTGTCTGTGCTGCATTGACTGGCAGCAGCGTGCATAATCAAATGCAACTGTTCCGATAGCAAAAGCATATTTAAGAATTTTAAAACGCTTAACCTTTAAGTTTTTTTGAATTTTTGAAAATTTTCTGTGGTACTTACATACACACAGGCACGAAGTGGCACTGTGCGAAGCATGACGTGATTCAGCAGGATGCTGAAGTGGGTAATATACATCTGAACACAAAAAATACATCATCTCAATACAAAACACTACACTCCTGCTGCTCCTCCCGCCCGGCCGCACGCTGGCAGCCCAGGCCGGGTCCCGCCGAGGCAGCGCGGCCCCCC